AATTTTGCCAGATGTAACTCATCTTTACAGTAATTTTGTGTGGTTTTTTAACTTTTGTATAACTGCCAGATTCTGTAGGAAGAAAAACACAAGGCTTCCTTCTGTTGGAATCTTGCCCATAAAACACAGGTGAGCATTGCCTTGGTCGCCTCTCTGTCGCGGTGGTTAAAACACCATGACCAGGGGATCTTAGGAGCTGATGAAGCTTTCTTGGAAGTATGAGTTTGGAAGGATGAGCCACTTGGCTTAAGCTCTGTAGATTTTTAAGTCTAAAAAGATGTGCCGAGAAGGTGACACGCATCTCGAATCCCAGCACATGGGTGATTGAATGACACACATGGGTTTCTAGTTAGAGGCCAGTCTGTGTGACTTAGAGGTGCCCCATCTTCTAGCTGGCATCCCCCCAACCCAGTGTGTGTATAGAGGAGAGGGAGAAACAGCAGGGGTGAGGTGGGGAGCATAACTTTTGGACTCCCTGGGAAATTGGATCGGCTCTGTAATTCATCTAAACATGTTGCCATTAGCTCTCCCTGGCTAGGGCAGGTGCAGGGACAGTCCTTGGAGTAACCTGTGTCTTGTGACAAGATGCTGTCTTCTCATGCACTTCCTTCATGGACCGGGTCCCGTGATTGCCAGTCTTTGTCATGTGTTGTGTCAGGGTAGTGGACATGCTGCCTGTCTCCTTCAGACAGAGGCCACAACTGCCTGAAACAGCTGGGAACGTTTGCTGCTCTCAGTAACCTAGCGGACTCAGTGCGTGCTGGACGTCTTCCACGGGGGTTATTTTAAGCTTCGTTTCAATCAAACCGAGGTCTTCAAGGGACAGACGAAGGGCTCCTTCCCTTCTGTTTCTTGTGTCAGGCTTTTGTCTTAGGCTCGGGGCTCTCACATCTTCCCATTCCAGTGTCATAGTGCCCTGTTCTGTGGCATACACCTCTGTTGAAGGCACTGCCATGCCACCTTGAGGTTCTCTGTTTTCCATGGAGTTGACACCAAGCCCCTCGATTGAAGGAGCTGGCCTCTGGTCTGGGAGTTCCAAAGCTGCTTTAAGTCAGAGTCGCCTACGTGCGGTCCCATATCTTGCTGGTCTGCTCTCCGTCTTGAGTGCCTGAAGTATCTCCATGTATGGTGGGTGCCTCAATCACCTGCAGCGAGCCCCGTATCTCCATGTATGGTGGGTGCCTCAATCACCTGCAGCGAGCCCCGCATGCGCCTGCTCTGTTCCTTCCCTCTCGTTAGGGCTGGGCCAGTGGCAGGGCTATAAATGCTCAGAGATAGTGCACTTGCCTGCGTGTGTGAGGCTCTGGGTTCACCCCCGGCACTGCCAGTGTCAACACGTGTCAGTCACCTCACCAACCGCTGATCGATCTCAGTGCTTCGGCCCCTTTGAACAAGATGCTAACTGGGATATGCGACAGTAGGTCTTTGAGGGGGGTCTCATGTCCAACCCAGACTGACCTGCAGTTCCTTGCATAGCCAAGGGTGGCCTTGAACTTCTCTTTGGTGATTCTTGCACACACACCCACACTTGGTTCTATGCCTCACTGATACAGTACCTAGGGCCTTGTGTATGCTGAGCAAACACTCCACCCACCTATCACCTCCAGCCCTATCACCTCTTTCTCTTCCTCTGGCCTTGAACTCCTTGATACACCTGCCTCAGCTTTGCCTTTGGGCTGATAGCTCTGTTTTGCTAGAGTAAAATTGACCTTTCCCCCAATCCCCAGGGTTTTCATTCATTCATAACGTGCACTGAATTTTTATAAACATTGAAGGTACAATATGGAACTAAGTCTCAGTCCGTCTTCTTTATCTTTCTGTTTCTTCCTCCTCCTCCCCCACTTTCTTCCTTCTCACTGTGTGCACACTTGTGTGCATGTGAGTGTGTACAGTCAGAAAGTAGTTGCTTTAGAGGGAGGCAGTGCAGAAGGGAGGGAGTTGGGGTGGCTCACGGGCATAAAACTTGTTTCTGGGATTAGGATCTTTCTCCTCCCCCACTTGCTTCCTTCTTACTGTGTGTGCACACTTGTGTGAGTGTGTAAACAGTCAGAAAGTAGTTGCTTTAGAGGGAGGCAGTGTTCAGCAGTGTTCAGGGGGAGGAAGTTGGGATTGCTCACGGGCATAGAACTTGTTTCTGGGATCAGGATCTTTCAGAAATTAGGCTCTGGTGCCGATGTCCACCGGCGATGGAGTGCTCACCTTTCAGACACAAGGCCATGGGTGTGTTGCAAAGAACAGTAGCAGCTGGAACCAAAGTCTTAGCTCGGCACTGGTAACAGTTGTTCAACACTAGTGTGTACTAAAAGTCACTGGGTAACTGGTTTGCCATAAAGTGGAAATTTTACGGTGTGTGAATCAGGCTGATGCCTGGAGGCGAGGGCAATAGTGAGGACTTTAGGACAGCACTGGACCATCTGAGGCATAGTGCTGTGGTCAGGCCCTCAGCTAACGTTCTCCGGGAAATAAATTTCCACGTTGCTGTCGGTAAGCTGGAACTCTTCCTCATGGCTGTGTACCCAAAGCATCACCCACCACATAGTTCTCAATTATACAAATGATTCCTTCAAAATTTGTGTCTGTGTGCGTACATGTGTATACCTGCCATGGCGAGGCGTGTCTGAGGACAACTTTGGGAATCGGTTCTTTTCTCCCACCATTTCAGTCCTAGGGACCCTCAGGTCCTCAACTGGTTAAGCCTGGCAGCAAGTGCCTTCACCTACTGAGCCATCTCAGGCGCCCATAGCTACAAACCTTACAGAGTGCATCCTTGCTTACGGCTGAGTCTTGGTTCTTTTGCTGCCATGTTACCTGACCTCCAGGCTTGGGGTGCTTTGACTATGCTGCAGTTGGTTGTTTTTGAGACCGGGTTTCTGTAGCCCAGATAGCCTCCAAGTTGTAATCTTCTTGCCTTAACTCTGAAACAGCTGTGGTTAGGCATATGCCACCATATCTGGTTTGGGCCTGTGTTTTATTTTTAATTAAAATATGATTTAATCATTTCTTCCATCTTCTCTCACCTCTAATACCTCCTATATTTCTCTCTCTCTCTCTCTCTCTCTCTCTCTCACTCTCTCTCACTCTCTCTCTCTCTCTCTCACCCACACACACACACACACACCGCTTAAATTCCTGGCTTCTTTATTATTGTCATATATACACGTGCACACATACATAGTCAGGAGTAGTGGTACTCTCAGGAGGCAGACAGGCAGATCTTAGTCCTGTTTGAGGCCAGCTTGGGCTCTGTAGCGAGTTACAGGATGGTCAGGTAGGGCTACATGGAGACTGCCCGTCTCCTTTAAAAAGGGGAAAGAAGAAAAGAATGAGTGAATATATACATACAACCCATCAGGTCTATGTTCATGTTTGTATGTATTTGCTTTTAGGGCTGGTCACCGTTACCTCTATGTGTGGGGCTCCAAGAGATTTCCCCATCTGTGCTGATTTGCTGGAGACATTACTGTTCAGATAGCTGTATTGTTGGTTACGTGGCTATAGTTGTCATGTTGGAAGGCACAAATCTTATAACAGACTTCTGGTCCTTTGGCTCTAATCTTTCTTTCCCCTCTTCCAGAATGTTCCCCGAGCCTTAGGTGTAGAGGGTGTGTGGTAGATGTATGACCTGGGGCTGCATAGCCCACGTGGACCTGCAGTTTCAGCTTTCCTGAATCTAGGGATTGAGTGATGTCGAGATGTCCACAGCCCGTGGTTCAGTGCTTCACTTGAGGATAGAAATACAGACTCAAGCTGGGGATGCAATGGGTCTATGCGAATTCAAGGGGAGAATGGGGCTAAAACGCTTCTCAGGCGCTTTCCTATAATATTCTGAGATACTCCACTCATTCTGTTTATCCATACTTCTCTGGTATTTCCCCCCACTGTTAATATTCTTAGATACCTACCTCCCTGCCTGCGCACCTGCTCATTCATCTGCCCATCCAGCCTAGTGTGCAGATGTGCACCATGGCATGAGTGGAGCGAGGAGGTAATTTGCTGGCGTCTGTTCTCTCTACCCTGTGGGTCCCAAGGTGTTGAAGTCCCAGGTAATTAGGTTTGGCAGCGGGCAGCTTTTACCACGGAGCCATGTCACCTACCTGGTTTTGTAACTATGTAAGAACTTAATACCTGTGCATATGTATGTGGCTCTTAGCGGTTCAGATCCCCGCTCAGCCGAGGACTTCATTTTTGTATAGAAAATGTTCAGTTCTTAGAAATAGGTAGGTTTAACCCTGTCCTTTGTCTGCCAGTCTTACGTAAAGGTTCCTATATACAAGAAATTGTTTTTTTCTGAAGTATGTTTAAAGATTCACATCCTTTTACAAACTTGGCAGTTCCCTAATAACACCAAATCGCCATTACAACTGTGTTGTCGCTAGATGTCATCTGATTATTGAGGCTCAGGAAAAGAAACGTGTGTGCGTGCCGTAAAGTTCTGGAGACGGGTCTTTCTACCGTAGCCTCATTTTAAACCCTTGATCCTTCCACCTTGGTCTGCTGAGTGTTGGGATAACGGGTGTGGACTGTCATGTCTTCCTATGTGGTGGGTTTTTGTTGTTGTTGTTGTTGTTGTTGTTTTGAGACAGGTCTAACTGGCATGGAATTTGCTTTGTAGAACAGACCAGCTTCATTTTGAGAAATATACCTGCATCTATTTCCCCAGTGTTGTGAAAAAAGTCACATGCTAATGGTTTCTTTGCCTCTGTTTCCCCAGAGGATGGTTGAACCTTATTCAGTCTCCCTGCACTGCCTGATAAATGCCTGTTTGTCGGGGGGCAGAGGGGGTCCGGTAGGGTGGGTGGTATTTGGGCTTTTTTTTTTCAAGACAGTGTCTTCCTGTGCAGTTCTGGCTGTCCTGGAACTCACTACGTAGACCAGGCAGGTCTCTGGAACTCAGATCCATCTGCCTCTGCCTCCCAAGTGCTGGGATTCCAGGCTTGTGCCAATACACCCATCTTGGCAACCTTCTTGAGTGTTTCTTTTTCTCCCCCTCTTTTAAACAGAAGTTGGCGACACGGCAAAGCAGTACCTAGAAAAAGGTCTTTTGGTTCCAGATCATGTGATCACACGTCTAATGGTGTCAGAACTGGAGACCCGGAGCACCCAACACTGGCTGCTAGACGGTGAGTGGGAACTGGGCAGGCTGATCTTCAGTACTCTTGATTACTCTTGTAAGTTTTTACAGTTTATGATAATGCATAATTTGACAGCATGGGAACCCAGTGTGGTGTCACCTTAATTTTCTGCCTAGTGACCGTTAACTCAAGCTTTGAGAGAAGCGTGCTGCCATTGCCTTATTTCCACGGTGTCCGTGACGAGGTTACACTGGGCACCATCTTAGATTAAGAGGCATTTTCATTCACTGGGGTTGTACAAATTCCAACTCTGAGTTTCTTGTTTTGCACTTGACTGATTAACAGAGATGGGGTGTCTAAAAGTCCTGTATATTGGTTATAGGAAGGTGATTATAAAAATGGTAGCCTTAGCCAGGCGGTGGTGGCACACGCCTTTAATCCCAGCTCTTGGGAGGCAGAGGCAGGTGGATGTCTGAGTTCGAGGCCAGCCTGGTCTACAGAGCTAGTTCCAGGATAGGTTCCAAAGCTACAGAGAAACCCTGTCTTGAACCCCCCCCCCAAAAAAAAAAAATTGGTAGCCTTAGCCAGGGGATACCTGTTATCTCTGCACTTGGAAGGCTGAGGCAGGTGATTACAGCAAGTTGTAAGCCACTCCGGCTTTACAGGTTCTAGGTCACAGGATCACAGAGTGGGGCCTTTGTATATTATAGTATATACAAAGTATAGTATTCTTATGGTCCAGCCATTGCATTGTTGTGAAATATTAAAGATGTGTTATTCACTTACGTTGTAGAATATTTGTTTCTTGATGCAAAGATACGTCGCTTTCTTTGTTGCATTTGTAACTCTGAAGCTGTGTTACTTTGCCTGTCTAAAACACCTGATTGGTCTATTAAAGAGCTGAATGGCCAATAACTAGGCAGGAGTAATAGGTGGGGCTGGCAGGCGGAGAGAATAAATAGGAGAAGATGGGAGAAGGCGAGAGAACACCAAGGGCCAGCCACCCAACCCGCTAAGAAGTAAGAAGAAAGGTATATAGCACGGGGAGAGGTAAAAGATAGGTGGGATAATTTAAATTAAGAAAAACTAGCTAGAAACAAGCCAGGCTAAGGCTGGGCATTCATAAGTAATAATAAGTGTCCGTGTATTTATTTGGGAGCTGGGTAGTGGGCACCCAAAGAGCAAAGATAAAATAACCAACTACATTCCATTCTGAATTTTTACCCAGGGATGTGTCTTCAAGGATGTTTATTTGACCTCCCTTTTGGTAAATAGTTTAAGACACTTTTTTTTTTTTAAAGGTGCTAATAGCTGTCTCAGGAAAGGAGTAAGCTGTGTAAAGAAACATAAAAAAAGTTAGCTACAAATACTGTAAGAGAAAACACGTATTTTATGGTTCTTCGAGGATAAAAGAATGATTAATTATTTTGGAGGTGAATGGGGGTCTGGAGAGGGCCCAGTGGTTAAGAGCATTTGCTGCTCTTGCAGAGGACCTAGGTTTGGTTCCCAGCATCCACATGATGTAGCTAGCTCTCTGGAGCCTGTAACTCCAATCCTACGGGATCTAGTAACTTCTGGCCTCTCGGGGCACCAGGCGTGAACATGGCATACATGCGAATATGCAAGCAAACAGTCACACACATAAGATATAAGGAAGAAGATGGATGTTCCCTAGGTACAAAAAGGTGGTTTAGAAAATACGGATTTAAGTGGGACAGTAACTCCAGAGTAAGTGGGCCATGACTTAGCATGGTGTTTTCTGAGCTTTCAAGAAATAGACCAAGTCCTTTTGATTTTTGTGAATGTTACTCAAATTGTATGTCACTGTGACCAAGTGACCAAGAAAAGCATCTTCATATTAGGAAGGAGAATTCAAATACCTTTATTATTTCAAATACCATATATTATTTATATGAGTTTCATTATGAAATTTTATATATAATTTTTTTGATCATTTCTGCTCTTCATTCATCCCATTCCATCTACCCCTTTCCCAACTAGTCCCAATTTTGTTTTTCGGTTTTATTTTTTGTGTGTGCCCCAGTGAGTTTAATTAGGGAGCGTGGGTGAGGGCTTATTTACGGGAGACTGGGCAGCTTCCCAGCCGCTGCACCACGGAAGAAAAATGTCTTTTTCCCTGGAGCAGTCCCTCTACACTGCCTGGGAGTTCTTAGGGAGCTACAGAGCCTTGTCAGCCTCTCCAGGACAGGTTCCAAAGGCCCAGTTTTAGGCAGGTCTTGTGTAAGTAATAAAGGCCGCCAAGAGTTCAAAGGTGCAAAGGCCACGTTATGCCTAGAAGACAGCACAATCCACAGCCCTTTCTTCTCGCCCTTACAATTCTTACCCTGTTTTAATTAGCGTTTCCGTTGCTGTGATTGAACACCATGATCAAAAGCAGTTTGCTTACACTTCCACGTCCCAGTTCACCACAGAAACAAGTCAGGGTGGGAAGCTGGAGTCAGGAGCTGATGCGGAGACCACGGATGGCACTGTGCCAATGGCCTGGGCGCCCTCGTCTCAGTCACTGAGAATATGGTCTACAGGCTTGCCTACAGACCGTCTGGATGCAGTTTCTCAACTGAGGTTCCCATCAGGCGGTTCTAGCTTGTGTCAAGTTGACATAAAAGCAGCCAGGACACACTGCAGTTCTGTGGTGTTTTCTCAGCCTCTGTGGATGTGGTTGTGGGTGTGGGTAGGTTGGTAACACGGATGCCCTGTTTAGGGGTGAATGCTAAATAGCCACTTATTCTGAGCACGTTGAACCGCACACGGCTTCTACTTTAGCTGTCACCCATGGCAAACAGGAGCTCCTTTGACCAAGCCTGATGGCAGCACTAGCCTGTGGTCCTAAGCATCAAAATTTAAAGGTCAGTTTGACAGATGAAACACACCATGCCCACTTAGCGAAACAGCAGTCACTAGGCTTTTGAAGTCAACGGTGCCAGGTGTGAATTCCTTCCTGTAGATCGAACCTGAGAGCCAACCAGAAAGCAGCTGGTTCTCATCCTCGTAACTGGGGTACCACTGTCGCATCAGTTGGCGCATCAGTTGGCATCATTCACCTGGCAAGTTTCGTGGGGTTCACAGCTGAGTGACACTGTACCCCAGCAGTGGCCCTTTAGGGTGCACCACTATACCCATTTCCCAAGCAGGTTTTGTGTATTTGGGGTGAGCTCTAGGTTTGCTGGTACTTGTCGGTAATTCATTCCAGTTTCTTTAATCATAAGGCCTCATGCCTTGTAAAATAAAATTCATGTGCTTTTAGAGATCATTCGTCTATTAAACTCCCCAAGAGTCAGCTAAACGGCAGTGGGGCCAGACTGCTCCTCTTGAATCTCAGCTCTTCCCCTCCCTGGCAGTGTGTCACCATGGGTGGGTCACTGTACTTTTGTGTGCATTTGATTTGTTGTGGAAGATGAATTAAGAAAGAGTTTAAGGGGGTTGGAGAGATGGCTCAGCAGTTAAGAGCATTGCCTGCTCTTCCAAAGGTCCTGAGTTCTATTCCCAGCAACCACATGGTGGTTCACAACCATCTGTAATGAGATCTGGTGCCCTCTTCTGGCCTTCAGGCACACACAGAATATTGTATACATAATAAATAAATAAGTAAACAAATAAAAAAAAGAAAGAGTTTAAGGATGAAATGAATGACTGGAAGCAAAATGCTTAGGAGTGTAACTTACTCCTAACAGGTTTTATTAGTAATTGTCTTGGCTAGTGTACAGGGCCTGGGTTTCTTCGTAGGTCACTACATGAAGTATAAAGTTCAAAAATAGCTTTAAGCTGGTGATGATGGTGGTGCACGCCTTTGATCTCAGTACTGGGAGGCAGAGGCAGGCAGATCTCAAGGAGGCCAGAAATCCTGTGTGTGTGTGTGGGGGGGTGAAGCTTTAAAAATTTTGCCTTGCAGAGTTGCCGAGTCAGGCAGTTACAGACTCTTCCTGCTAGCTTTTGTCTTACCTGTTCTCTCAGAGAATAGCTGGTCCCTTTACAGCGCTGGCCTGTTTTTAGTGAAGTGCGTCAGTCTCCCAACTGATTCGGTTTTCATCTTCCTCTCTGAAAACCCATCTGGTCGTTTTCAGTTTTGATTTTTCTTCAAAGCTCTGGAATCTGTCCATCTGGCACAGCGCGGGCGTAAGGGCTGCTGGTCCCCACGTTCTACTTTCGACCCCTTATGTTGCGGGGAACATGGTCGTGCTTAGCCGAGAGTGTACTGACTGAGTGTGCTGAAGGTGATTGGATGTGTAGAGGCCTGTCTTAGGGAGGAATTCTGGATGACAGATGATTCATCGTCTTGGTCCATATGGCTGCAGAGAGGCATCCTGCTAACTGTGGGTGGAAATCGGTGCAGTGGATGCAGGCCAAGGGAACACCAAGTCGGGTGGGGGATGGTGTTTGTTCTTCCTGGCCCGAGCCATCCTTATGAAAATGTTCAGTGTTCTACCTTCACAGTGCTTGGAAAAGAAACACGCATTTTGTCTTTCTCTTTGAAGCAGAGTCTCACTGTGTAGCTTAGACGACTTCAAACTCATGGTAATCTTCTCTGTAGCCTCTCAAATGCTGGGATTACAGATATGAGCTACCAGGGTTTGTTTTCTTGTTTTTTTTTCAGTTTTTTAAATTGATATTTATTGAGCCTCATATTTTTCTCTGCTCCCCTCCTCCCTGCCTCTCTCCCCTCCCCCCTTCAACCCTCCCCCAAGGTCCCCATGCTCCCAATTTACTCAGGAGATCTTGTCTTTTTATACTTCCCATGTAGATTAGATCTATGTAAGTCTCTCTTAGTGTCCTCATTGTTGTGTAGGATCTCTGGGATTGTGGTTTGTAGGCTGGTTTTCTTTGCTTTATGTTTAAAAATCACCTGTGAGTGAATACATGTGATAATTGTCTTTCTGTGTCTGGGTTACCTCACTCTATGTTTTCTAGCTCCATCCATTTTCTAACAAAATTCAAACTGTCGTTATTTTTTTCTGCTGTGTAGTACTCCATTGTGTAAATGTATCACATTTTCCTTATCCATTCTTTGGTTGAGGGGCATTTAGGTTGTT